ACAAATATCTAATTCTACTCATAGCTAGAGTGTAATCGGAGACTACATGTATCGATTAATTGTTATCATCCCTAAGATCAGATATAGGTAAACACATACTGTAACTACTGTCATTACCTTTCAACGCATCCCTTCAAACTTTGTTTTGTTTTATCTAAAAGCTGCTAAAATATTCATCAATCCTAAAAGGTATTGTGTTCAAAGACAGCGATCTAGACAGAAATGACATGATGTTACTATCTACTGGGTTTCTTTTGATGTTACCTATAGATGTTTGATAAGGCTGCATCAAAATAGTCAGATTTGACTTATTATATTTCCATGTGCACAATAACGCCTTCGTCCCCAATACTGTGATTGCATGCTCCTTTTAATAACCCTTTTAAAATAACTTAAACACTGATTTTAGGAAATATGATGTGTCTATTTACTGAGCAGAGACCAGGCAGTGCTGAGGAAGTTCTGGGATAGTTACTGGAGAGGGGAGCTGTGTGTGTGAGAGAACCATGCACTTTCTATGCTCTGACATGTTTGGTGTGCAGAGAAGCAGAGTCCTTCATAAACTAATTTTTTTTTTTCCAGAGCCAGGTGCTTGATTAAATTAAACCGTCCATGCCAGATGTGTGTGTGTTATTGTGCATGGTTTTTGAAAATGTACAGCACATGATCCAAATTAGAGGTTGCTGCTTTCAGATGACTACAGCAATCTAATAAAGCTAGCAGTTGTAAATGACAGTGCTGGTAATCTATCACACATTAATATACTCAGGTGATATGACAACTATTGATTTCATCTGTGTTTATCCTGTAGGCATTGATAATGGAGCAAAATTACAGAATAACCTCAAATTCTTTCCCTATTTTCAACATTAAATTACAAACAAGGATACAGATAAGGATATAGGTAATCTTCTAAACATAATAAGTATCCACAGAGCAGCCTCAGCACTATAGCAACAACTGTAACTAAACATAAAACTAAAATGCCTCAAATATGTGAAATATGAGCGTGCACGTGTGTGTTTTACTGTTGCCTCCTATTTCACCCTCTAATTGTTCTAATTGGAGCAACTCCACTTCTCTGCTGCCAACGAGGAAAGTACCTGACACATGCACACACACACACACACGCAGATTCTTATTCTAGCCACGTAATCATATACTGTAGCCAAAAAAACAGTTATATGATGAAATGAATATGTGCCTGGATGCAGTGCGTCAGTATGCATGTGTTCAATCCTCAGGGTGCTCTCACTGGAATGCTCTTATCTGGGTCAAATGTTGAGTTGGCATTTTGGAGGATGCTGCATGTGTGTGTGAGTTTGCGGTGTGCGCGCGTGTGCGTGTGTGAAGGATACCATTAGCTGAACAAATCTGGCCTTTGTGGTAATGATAGGGGTGGCAGGCTGCCAGGCAGACAGATAATACCACAGTAGTTGGTGACTGAGTGATTTCAACTAGAGGCTGTTTCACCTGAGCAACGGTCCTCAACCTGCAGTTTGGGGCTCCACTAGGGGCCACACAGTGATCTCAAGAATGTGAAAATGTATGCTTTTAAAGGGGTAATCTGTGAAATCCTCACCTCTCTTTGTGTATCTCTTTGGGGGTCATCACTTACTCGTCACTCGAAGATCACTGTGATATCTCTTTTCTTGTTTTATTTTTTGCTGATCAAGTTTGAGTTTCACTGCTCAAGGTAATTCATCATTCGTCCTTCTTCTCTCTTTATTTCAGAAGTCAGTCAGTGGCAATATCTTTTTGTCCAATTTCTTGATCCAGACATAAATATTACTATCAGACAGGCTGCCTTGAAATTTGGTACATATATTCATGGTTTCCTAGTGACTTGGTGGTCCCCTAATTTTTCATCTAGCCCCACCAAAAGGCCAAACATGTTCATTTCTACATGCTAACTGTATATATTTTGAAATAAATTAATTTTATTCTTTTATGTTAAGTATACAGACATTTGAATGTTGGCCTTATATCTGGGCGCTACACAAGAAAGACATTATTACAAGCTGAACACACAGAAATAGAAAATTGTTTAAAAAGAAGAAAAGATGAAATGTCAGTGCATATAGAAAGTGTTTATAATGCAGTTGACCACAACCATTTCCTTAGAAGTCTATTCTGTTTATATCTTCTTCTATAATAAGACAGACTGTATTTCTTATTATAGCCAAATGAGCCATTCAATTAAAATATTATACAATTATGGCTTGTTTTACTGAGTGTACATCAGAAAGTTTCTTGGCTTCTGTGCTGGTTTAATACATGTTGGTGTTGTTGTTGTTGAGCCTGGCAGCTTGGTTTATATTTTAGGTGGGTTTAAGGATATGAGCACCATGATCTGTGTATTTAGTAAATCAACCACTATAGTAAGACAAGGCTTTTTTTATTGTGCCTATGACAGTGATACTACAGTTATTCTCCAAAAATTGCTTGCAAGGCCTTTTTTTATTCAGTCAGTTTGAACATCACCTACAATAATCACTATTCAATAGTACTGATCTTATAGTCTACATGCTCATCTTAACTTTAAAACTCTAAATACGTTTACACTCCTCCAGAGAAAATGACTAGCAACAAAACTGCATTTTCACAAACTTCACTTTTGACAAACATAAACCTTAAAGTGGAAAATGTTTATGTTCACTGCAGCTTGGGGTCTTTTTTTTTTTTTTTTAAGACACATTCCAGATGGGCTAGACTGACTATAAAAGAGGAGCCTATGTCTTTATAGTCCCTGCTTCCTTAAACAACTTCAAAAAGTCTGGCTTCTGCAAGATTTCTAGTTAGCTGAGAGAACTGCGTCCACTGTGGATTGAAACAAATATTATTCATTGATTTTGGTTGCAAAGTGAACATTTTGCCTTTGGATTTTATTTTCAGTATATTTATGCCTTTAATGTTATATAAAACAGGTGCAGGGGTCAACAAGACAAATGATACTGTGTTACATATTAGCCTCAGGAGATTCACTAAAATCATTTTCTTAACTTGGTATATACTCGACTCGAGCAAGACTCGTCACCAAGACAACAGTTAGATTTCACAGTATAATGCATGGGAAAGTGGGCAAACAAAGAAGTCAGTCACACACACAAATACACACACACATCCCTGCATGCACACACACTTCTAGAAGTGATTAAACCCAGCAGGACCGCAGGCCTCAGCACTCTTCTCTCTATTTACTGACAGCTTTGGAAGTGTTCACATTTGTGTGTGTCTGTGTGTGCATGTGTGTGTGACACAGTATTGTCCTCCACCAGACAACCCTCTCCCCACCACCGGACCCCCCAGGCATAAGCATGTCTTTACATGACACTAATTCTATCTGTCTCTGTCTTTCTCTCTACAATACAAGGGTACACAGGGAGAGAGACAGATAGATGGAAACATGGAGACTCAGACCCAGAATCAACAACCTGATGGAACAGATAAGAAAAGATAATGTTTGGTTAACTGTGAGTGTAACTGCCCGTAAGTGTATTTGTGTACCTCTCCTCCTTTCTCGCTCCTGGAGGAGGCGTAGAGAAGTGAGGAGGTGCAGGCGGTGAAGGTGATTGTGGACTCCGAGCTCCAGGAGGTCATATTCTGAGAGGTGGAGCAGGTCCTGGAAGACATAAAGATACAAACAGTTCAGTTAAACTGAAGTGATGGTGCTTTGTAGATAATATCCTGTGAACTTACCTGATAAATAGTTCATATATTAGCACATTAAAGCACTGTAATGTTAAATAACTGATCTAAGTGAGACTCAACACCCCTTTGTGCAGCTTTCTACAGTTTTCAGATAGTTTTGCTCATTGTTTCTGGTTTTACCTGTGTCGCTGATGGACCCCACCACTCCACCCCACCCCTGAATACTAAACTGTCACCAGCCACTCCTAACACATAAGCTCACATAAGCTGTACCTGTTAACAGTGAAATATGGCAAACACGGCAACAAAAAAAGACAAAAAGATGGCTTGCTAACAAAAGAGATATTTTTTCTGCCACAGTTGGTGAACAAAACCAGTTCTAAAATGTACAGACTTGACACATATCCTCATAGCTTGTTTTTTGTTCTTAGGTCACTGTCGCAATGCAGTATCTAAGGATTAAAAACAGCACAGCGCCCTTACTGTATATACTAGAAAGTCTTTCGTGCTATAATGATGCCACTTTTATGAGATGACACTGATAGACAAGCAGAATATCTCCAGGGTCACTGCTCTAGTCTGAAAGAGGTATTAGACACAGTCAGAGACCAGGATACGGTGTCATCCAATAGCCGTTTTTGTTTCATTTTCACTTCCTTTATATGCATAACATCCCTAAAAATAGACAATTTTAGATTGATGAGCTGACTGTAGCAGTATAAGAATGACTTCTGTGAGTTCAGTCTGATTTATGGCACTGAGAAGGGGTATAATTTTTGACAGAAAATGGGTTGTTCAGGTGCTAGGGGTTAAACTGTTTACTAAGACTCGAGACTTGAGGTGTCTCAATATACCACTTAAAGGACACGAGCCTACCAATCACACACAAGCAGTGATGTTGGACCTTTAACACAGTTTATATAAAGCAAAAACAAATTCTTGAGGTGTTCTCTATGGAATAACATAAACTGTGGAATAACATTCAGAACACAACATTTAGATTTAGATTTTCTCACAGTGAAGATACTGCTGTGCTCGGTGGAAGTCAGGAGACACACAGTTTGTCTAGACAGGTCGGTGGCTCCAGCACAGCAGAAGAAGACCACTGGTGACCTCCTATCTTCCAAAAGTGTGCCGTCTCCTCCCCTCATCCTGCTCCTGTCATTACAGCATTGTCTTAAACACGCACAAAAAAAACACACACCCTGCCTCACTTCAACCCTCACTGTGGTATTATCATAAACAACCCCTGAAATGATGGAGTGATGGAGAGCCACAAAGTCTTTGAACCAGATCTCAACCTTGCACAGTAATGGAACCACAAAAAAAACACACACACACACACACACACACACACACACACACACACACGTAAATGACACATACACTGTGTCATCACAGGACACTCCCAGCTCAAACCAAGGCCTTGTTGTTTTGGTTTCTCAACAATACGACCATTCTCTTCAGTTCATCACAAACACTGCTCTATTTAGACTACACACACACACACACACACAAACAGTGGGCAAACCCAGGAACACACACGCAAGGCAAACTCGCACAGAAACAGTGCACAATCAAATTACAGTCACCCTTAGTCACATACAGCAAGTTAGAAGTTATCCACGCATCCACAACCACACACACATACTTGCATATCAAAGCAGCCAGTTGCACACATGCACACAAACACACTCAAAGTCACCACCCACTCACATACATACATACATATGTGTGCACGCAAACACACACAAAAGTTCCAGAAAAACATCAAAAATAAACTTTCAAAAACACAAATGCAGACAAGCACGTTATGCTAACAAGTCTGAAAACCACAAACACTGCACATGTACAGACACAAATAAGCATGTACACACACACACACACACACACACACACACAGCCGGTCATTGAGGTCAACATGCCTAGGCAGCTCAGTAATAACATGTTAGTAGATTAAAGAAGAAGCCACTACATTAGTTCTGCTGATGTTAACACACAAGTAACACACCCCATGACTGTGTGTTTGTGTATATGAGACATGGTTGGCATATCACAGGCCTAATCTATCTCAGATCTATCTATCTCCCCCTCCCTCTGTCGCCCTCGTCTCCCACTGTGTCCAACAGCAAGTTGACATGTTTTCTTTTTTCTTTCTTTTCCAGATCCTGCAGAGCTGAACAACAATATGACCTCTCATACCAGTCCTCTGGAGAGTTGATATAGCACTTGTCAGTGTTGGTTTTGCCCGCATGAATGTTGTTCCAACGATGAAGATGCTTGTGAATGAAAAGACCGATCAGTGTGGTACAGCCAGCACCGGGCGATAAATACCTCAACCTCACAACATTTCTGATCTCAAAATGGATCAAATAAGCTTGTGAACTTGTATCTGCAGCTATACAGAGTGTTTGCGGGCACTTTTAACTCACTGTCATTCTGATTTAACACTATTTTTTCCGCCATCTCTGACAAAACAGAACTGAGCTGCATATGAAAGTAAACAAAAAAACACTTTTTGTCACTTATACCTGGAGGGTGAACAAAGCCTAAATCATTAAGTGGGGCTGCACCAGAATCTTAAGATGCTGTACATTCACTTCATTTTGCAAATTACTTCCTCATGTCAATCCAAATCATCAGGAAGTCCAGCTCTGTCCTGGGCTGCCCTTTGGACTCAGTGAGGGAGGTGGGGAGAGTCCGGGCTAAAGTGTCATCCATTGCTCCCACCCCTGCACTGCCGGTGACCTGACAGAGCTGGAGGGAGCACCTTTCAGTGACAGACTGCTTTTTCACCCTCGATGTGTGAAGGAAAGATACAGAAGGTCTTTCCTTCCTGCTGCTGTTAGGCTCCACAACGAACACTCAAAAAAAACAAAAAACACCAGTTTGTCACCAGTCTGTGCAATGCTATTCTTTTTCACTATTCTTTTTCATTATTTATGTTTTACAAGCTACTCTTTGCTCTTGTTATTTTTTATTCTGTCCGTATATGTAATGCGTGTTGCAAACTGCAATTTCCCCATTGTGGGACAAATAAAGGTTTTCTTATCTTATCTTATGGCAAATTTCATCATTGCATAAAGTTACATATTGAAATATAAGAATTAAATGCCAAAATGGCTAACCATTTTCAAGGCTCACAGTGGTGAATCTGATAATGTTTGTCATGATTAAAGTAAAAATAAGTATCAACACAAATTCTGCACACCACACTGAAAAAAACAAAGAACTAGGCGATGCCCTTTGTACACTTTACATGCATGTAGTTGTTCACAGTGATGATGATGTTGGCTGAGTTTGTTTTACTGGCATGTTGTGTTAAAGAGCAGCCTGGATGGCTAAGAGGCACTGAGCTGGATATTGTTGTTATAATATCCAGAGAAAGGTTAGCAACGCTGAGCCGAGTTCATTATGCATGGAGGATGGTCAAGGAGGGGTTAGAGTGTGATTCTTAGTTCTTGTGTTCCCTATAACTCCAATTACTCTGCACAAAGACAGTTCAGAGTAGTGCCAGTAGCTCAAGTCATCAGTTTCATGCATTTATTTTAGACAACTTAAAGAGGCTTTCATTTGGTGCACGATGAAATTTACTGGTTTTATTATTTCAAACAGCAACTTTAATGTAAACTCCATTATGGTTTAATGAGACTAGAACAACACATTATTGTCCTTGTCTCACCTCGTTTGCCTTCGCTAATTGCACCAATGCGTTCTGGGTGAACATTAGCAGGAGGTATTGTAATGGAATAATTCATGTGTTATTGGCTAATCAATCTCATCTCCTAGCCAATGGCTGTGTAATGTTCAAATTGAAGTTGGCTAATGGTGGGATGTTAAAACAGCCCCCACATCACTGTCCATTCAGTCTAATAGACCTGTGATGAAGTTTTATTTGGCTTCATTATTAGGCCTCTGTGGGAAACACTCTTAATAACAACAACAACAACAACAACAACAACAACAACTGCATTTACCAGAATAGAAAATGGTTTCCTCAAACATTTACTGAAATCGCCTTGTAAACAGACACGTTGAAGGGTCAGTTCATCTATTCATTTTACTCCCCTCCTAATGCAGTCTGGACATTTAGATAGTGTCAGTTTTATGTGCTGTATCTCAATAGGAATCACTTCTTTGGTAGAAAGTAGTTCACAGCAATGCTTTGAGAACCACAAAATAAATCCCATTACGCCCTATTGCATTGGGGTAGAGCTAGAAATCTCGGAGACATTTAAATTGTGTGATAAAGAAGCTTTGAGCTGTCACGTTGCTGCATTTCCCACTAAATGTGACTCAACATCCCTCAGGTCAAAATGCAGTACATAGGCTAAAAGTCTCTTACAGTGACACACAGTTAACGCATGTCAGGTAAGGTTTAAGTGACTTCACTTTGCTCAACCAGATTTTCTCAGAATGTTTTCGGATTTGTTCCTGTAACCCTGTACAGCGGGTATGTTTAGTCTACTGCTGCCTAGTTTTCTCCGGAACCAGCAAGCCTGTATTCAGACATTATTTTACAGTAATAACAAAAAAATATTTATGTAAATGTCTCTCTAGATTGTGGTAGGTTCTGTGTGTGTTTGTATTACCTCTACACCATCGTATTCCTGCTCCAGTGCTATGCAGTACTGTGGCAATCCCAGCTGGCTCAGCCATCGGGAGATAGACTGGTGCTTCATGGTGACACATACACAGGCATGTATGCCGATGCACACACAGTCTGCCACTCACTCACTTTCTTCTTTCAGATGGAACCTGAAACGCAGCAAAGGAATAAATGATCAGTTTAATTTAGATTGCTAGTGGAAAAAAACAATCTAAACAAGTAAACAAAGATTTAAATTGATGCCAAAACTACAAATTGTGAAACCTTTATTGTTAAACTCACACAACAGTAGATTCCATGCAATTAGTGAACGTAATCTCATTTAAAAATAACACACAGACAAACAAAAAATACTCATCTCCTCTCTGCACAGTGACTTTCACTAGTAATGACTCTGGAATCTGCCAGTTTACTATTAGTTGGCTTTTGGAAAGTACAACAAGACATACAGTACATGATGTATGTTGACAACCTTTTAGGAGGGTCTAGGAGAAGGAACTGCAATCATATGTGGGAGATTTCACAGAATATATCCAAGCCATTTCAGTCTGTGCGAGACATAATTTGATACTTCTCAAGCCTGTTCACAAACTGCACTCCTCTCCTACAGTACAGTGCAGTAGCCATAGAAAAATGAAGGATTGCTGACTGACTTTATTTTGGAATTCTATTTTTTCCCATTTCTTTTCTGACTTTAAGAAAGTAGACTTGCGCTGACTAATTGCACTATTTTAAATCAGGTCATTTCAATATAAAACCTGGCAGCATTAACTATAGCTGAAGAATATGGTGATGTTTGTTAGAAAGCTGCTGCTACAATCTTTGAAAACCATATATTGGTGATATTAAGCATACAAAATCACAATACTTGTTATTTTTACCTTCTAAGCTTGTTTTTCTGTGTGTGTCCAGGCACGCATTAAGACATGTGCTAAACAGACCATTTGTTTTTCACGGCGGGGTTGTTCTGTAGCTAAGTCTTCTTTCATCGGTCTAATGCGGTTAGCAGCAACACAACAGACACTTCAATGCTGTAAACACCTCTGGGTGATGATGTCTCAGTCTCAACAGGAGGCTGATACTGAGACTGAGAAATCAAACTGCGTCTGTATCTGCCGCCAGTCAAGATTGGGCCACAAAACATTAAGCAGTGTTCAGAAAGTGCTGGAACTGGATACTGGGAACGAGAGCCGATATCATCCAAACTCCCTCTACTGATTACTACCACAAATCTTTTTTACCCAGAAGCCCTGCGCTGTCACTACAGCAACATACACACACACACATATGAACACAAGGTGATGAAATACTAAATGATGACAGTGCTACATGTCAGGATAAATCTTGGTAAGTATATAAAGAGTTAGTGGAGAAAATCTGCTGAGGTAAAAACTGGCTGCCCTTTATAAGAATCCTGTTGGTGTCTTAAGTTGGCAGACAAAACGTCTACAGTATATCTGCAGACAGAGGAGAATAGGAGACAAATTTATATAGAACAGAAAAAAAAACAGGTGGCCGTTAGTGATTACTAGGGATGTCCCCCTCATGTTATACTTGGTCCTTTAATATTGGGAATCTGCTAAAAATGCTGTCTGATTGGATATGTATATATTCACCTACATGTTGATTATTTATCTGACACATTGAAATAACAGCTATAGACTACTAAATCTCCCACATCTTATTTATAATGAGCTACTTGATCCAAATACTGAAGTTAGAAAGTCTATAAGCTTAAATCATTGGTATACGAACTAAAGATTAACTTGGAGAATGTGAAATTGCTACAGAAAATACATAAACTCTGTTTGAACAACAGAAACACTTCCACTTGATGACTGTCATCGTTGGCTGAGTACAGTCACTGGCTTGCAGAGAGCACACAAACCTAACAACAGCCAAGTTTATTTTTAGCCTGTCATCAGGTTACTCACAGAATTATTGTTAATCAGGTCACATTTGTCATTTTAACTGGTGAAAGTGACAGTTACTACCGACCATAAACAAGAAGCTGCCTGAATGTTTTGTACACTGCTGCGTTAATAGCGTTATAACCTCAGTGCCAGAAATCAAAGCACTCACTCGTACATCCAAATAGTTTTTCGCTCACATATTAATATGCAGTGACATGCTGCGCTGTAGAGTCTGGCTGTGATTAAAGAGGACGGCACCTTCAACAGTAGCAAGTTGAGGTGGACAAAAAACAGAGTACAGTGAAGCGAGGATTTCATTTTGATCATCTTTCAGTAAAATGTGCCCAGATTGGTCTCAATACTAATCCTTATGGTCGGCTTGGCACATCTTTAGTGATTACTATAAAAATGTATCAATGCTATCTTATCTTTTAAAACGTATTAACTAAACTATCTATCGATCCATCCATCCATCCATCTAATCTTAGAATCTAGAATCTAGAATAGAATCTTTCTGAACTAAACAAAGCTTCTTTGTCATGTTATCAACATGAAAAGAAAGAAAAACGCCACCTAAATCAAAGCTTATATGTAATTTATTTATTATGATATTGATGTAGATATTGTGATTTAATCAATTTTCTGGAAAATCAATTGAGAAACTGACTAAATAACCATATGGGTATGTCTATTTTCAGCTAATCCAGCTAATTTAAATACACAATAAATCAAGGTTGTTCATTAGAATGATGCAAACATCATACCGAAATCCACTGTGGCCATAAATCGGCTCTGCTCAATTATTTTAAACATGGCCCACAATGGCCTAATACAACCAGAGATCGCAAAGGGATAGCTACTAAAATGTAAACCATATGGTTAAAATCTCTGATGGTACATAAATGTGCATAGTCTCACGGTATACATCCTCATGCTGCCGACCCATAATTTAATTTAATCAGTGTTCCAGGTCATTTTTATGCAGTTACATTGCAGTAAAACAAAAAAAAAGGTTCTGTTTGAAAGACAGGAGAGTAGTTTTCAGAAGCTACAACATAAAACCAGCTAATCAACTGATTCCGGATATTTGCATTATAGATTTTTGATATTCTTCTGAAATGCTGACAGTCTCATAATCTGCAACCCTCCAGAATGGAAGAGTTCTGAAATATGTGTGTATAATATATGTGAATAATCTCGTTCTGGATCAATGGGAAACACATTTCTATTGATGAAAACACTAATGACTTCCTCTGCTGTATTTGAGTACCTGTGTGTTGTCGGGTAGTATTATTGTTTGTCAGTGTCATTGTGTCCTTCGTGTATTGTATTGT